GTAGAGGTAGAATTTCAATCTACATCTTTCGGACTTCAAAGTATACTTTCTTAACCATTGTTATGTACTGTCCTGAACCAGAACTGAGTGCCCTAGTACTTTGATTTCCTCTTCCCAAGAATTCAAGCAAAATTTTGCTTTGGAAATCAATATCTTTTTTTTATACATAGTGATAAGCTGTGGAATGGAGGTTGGGGACAAAGCAGGGAGTAGTGATAATCCCTGGCTATGAATTACACAGCTTCTGATTTATTGTGTGACTTCAGGTCACCGACGGCTGCAGTGGCCGCGAGCGTGCCACTGCACTCCAGCCTGGGTGACAGTGAAATTCTAATTTTTAAAAAATGGGATTAAAAATGTGCCACAAGGAAAACAGAGAAGGGAAGGAAGGTAGAAATACTGTGGTGAAATTGAGGGGAAAATATTTGAGCTCTCAGAATGATGACATTCTTTGTATAAATATAAGTTTAAGATATTCTTAATGTTATGGTGATAATTATTACTTTGCAATGAATTAAGTACAGACCCGGGAATCAGTTTTCCCGGATCATCTTGTTAAATGAAGATCGTTTTCCCCTGGGCCATCCACCACCCTCTTGATGGCCTTTTCAGTGGGACAACAGTCTGGGTCTGCCCTGAGAGAGCCACCCACAGGATTCCTGCATTTGGCCTTCTCTAGCAGTGGGGTGACTCTGGAACAAGTCAGCATTTGGGTGAGTGCCTGTTTGTAAAGCTCTATGGCTGTGAGGGAGAGGCAAGCTTAGTCAACGCGAGGCATGGGGCCAGGGAGGATGGTAATGATGTCATTCAGACTTCTCATGACTGGTCCTTTTCTGATGTGACTTTGAGAGCTGTTGCAAGCACAAGGGTTGATGGCCGTTGGTCCCATCTACCTGTGTTTCCCATATTCTTGATGCTTAGTTTTCCAGGATGTGGGCAAGTCAAATCCAGGCTTCACTTGATTCACACTGAACTATATGTGGGTGTCAGAACTCCTGCTTTTGTGCTGGGAATGCCACATGGTTTCCTGACGGCTGTCTTAAATCCTCAACCTCATCTCAGCTATTGCCTCTGGCATTCCCTGGCTATTAGTCTCTTGTGGAGTGTGTGGGAAGTGGAGAGACCTGAGGAAGCAATGGAGAGGAGAGGAGGATGTGGAAATAGCCCAGTGTCACAGTGCCTTATGGGGAGTACTTGGCTAACTTCCAGGACTCCAGCAAAAGAGGGATCATCTTTTTCATTCTGGCAAAAACCACAGATACAGATTCGCTTATTGGTGAGCAGTTACAGCTGTCATTTGCTCAAAGTTCAAAGACTTTTCAGACTCTACCTGAGTAGATGCCTATTGTATGGAAATTATTTTTCCAGATGAATCTTTAAAATCAATGACTTTCGAACATCAATGCACATTTGAATCAGCGGGTAGACACCATAAGATATCTGGCTCTATTCTTAGGGACTCTGATTCCTTTCACAGGGGTGGGGGCCAGGAATCTGCATTTTTAACCAGCATCTTAGGACATTCAGATGGTCAGCCTTAGAATTTGGCCCAGTTTTGGAAATAGCCTCTTTCTGCTGCAGTCGTTTTAATCACTTTATTGAAGGATTTATTAGCATCTCCATGTTTATTACCTGTTTCATTCTCACAGCAACACAGTAACTAGAGTGGAAACAAGAGGTGGTTAGCTCCATTTTATTGGGGATGAGGGGGTGGAAGGTGGGATTGAGGCATAGGGAGAGGAAGGTCATGATGACTCAGAACAGAGATGGGAACTGAAGTCCAGAATTGATGCCTCTCAACCAGGCAATTTTCTGGGCCCCATTTGCTCAGCTTGTGATTTCATCTTTAATAATAGTTATTTCTTAGATCGCCAATTCATTGTGCTTAGGTAACGAAAGCATATTTGAGTTTTAAACAAAATAGTTTAGCATCAGTGCCAGTTTTGGTTAGTATGAGGCTCTTCTAAGCTTAAACTAATATCTAGATGATAATATGTGTGGAAGTGACTGCTCTCTGTGTTTATAATTTCTGAAGACTTTTTATTTAAAGTCTAAGGGAATGGATTTCTACTCTCCATGGCAGTAGGAACCCCCTCTCATCTTTTAACTGGCAAAGTTCTAAATTTAAAAACCTCTTAGCCCTCTGTCTCTCAAACTTGAGTAGTATATGGATCCTTTAAAAAATATTTTTTTTTTTTTGGGTTGGAGTCTCATGCTGTCGGCCAGGCTGGAGTGCAGTGGCATGCTCATGGCCACCGCAGCCTCGACCTGCTAGGCTCAGGCAATCCTTTCGTCTGAGCCTTCCAAGTAGCTGGAACTACAGGCATGCACTACCACGCCTGGCTAATTTCTTTATTTATTCTAGAGACGAGGTCATGCCATGTTTCCCAGACTGATCTCAAACCCTTGGGCTTAGGCAATCCTCTTGCCTCGGCCTCCCAAAGTGCTGGGATTAAAGGTTTGAGCCACTGCACCCGGCCTGGACCTATTTTTAAAGAAAAAAAATTCTGAAAACTCTCATTTAACATAAATTATGATTAATTTTAGAGATGAGGGTCTTGCTGTGTTGTGATGGTCTTAAATTTCTGGGCTCAAGCAATCTTATTGCCTAAGTCTTCTGAATAGCCAGGAGTATAGGCACATGCCACCATGACCCGTTAAGTCTTTTTTAACAGTATAATCATTTATATATATATTTATTTTCTATTGTATAGTCAATTCCATTCCAAATATAAACTAGGAATACAATGTGCTTTTATTTATAGTTCTTATACAGCTAAAGAAAAACAAATTTACAAATTAAATACAAATGAAACCACTAAATGAGTACTATTCAAATAATAATATTACAGTAATTTAATATGACAGTGATTTTGCTAACACTAAGTCGTCCCCTTGTATTGTGACTATGTATTACAACATGCTTATGCCACCAGGTGACCTACGATATCTTTATTGTCTCACCACTTTCCTGTTAGAATTACTGAGACAGTGCAGCCTCATGATGTTATCTGGTTTTCGTTTTGCACATGAAAATGTCATTTTCATTTTAAAACCACCTCTGGGCCAGGCGTGGTGGATCAAGCCTGTAATCCCAGCTCTTTGGGAGGCCGAGGTGAGAGAATTACCTAAGTCCGCGGGCTCAAGACCAGCCTGGAAACATGGTGAGACCTCGTCTATACAAAAAAAAAAAAAAAAATAGTCAGGTGTGGTAGCACCTGCCTGTAGTTCTTGGAAGGCTGAGGTGGAAGGCTCGCCAGAGCCCAGCAGGTCGATGCTGGGGTGGCTGTGTGCATGCCACTGCACTCCAGCCTAGGCGACGGAGTGAGACTCCAACTCAAAAAAAAAAAAAACCCACCTCTGTTCTTTTCTCATTGTCCTGTAACAATAAAAGCAACATTGAAACGCACATGCAAATGTAAATGCTGAAATTGTGTGGCAATATTGAGTTATAAAGTCATCCAAATAATTCAGGATATGCTTATGCAAATCTAAAAGTTATCAAAATGGAAATAAAATAAAAACCCTAGAGGATACGTCCACAGACCTAATTTGAGAAAAACTTCAGGTCTGTTGGTTCCCAAACTTGCATTGCTACCAAAGGCTCCATCTACTGTGCTAACTTACAAGAACCCCATGTTTTTAAAAAAGTTTGCCTCCTAAATTGCATTTCATTTATTTATTTATTTATTTTTGAGGCAGTGTCTCACTATCACCCAGGCTGGAGTGCAGTGGTATGCTCACGGCCACCGCAGCCTCGACCTGCTGGGCTCAGACGATCCTTCTGCCTCAGTCTTCCAAGTAGCTGGCATTACAGGCGAGTGCCATCACGCCCAGCAAATTGTTTTTTTTTTAATTGTAGAAACCAGGTCTCACCAAGTTGCCCAGGCTGGTCTCAAACCCCTGGGCTCAGGCAATCCTCTCACCTCTGCCTCCCAAAGTGCTGGGATTACAGGTGTAAGCCACTGTGCCCGGCTCTAAATTGCGTTTATTAATAATTTTAAATTTTTTGCTAATCAGACACATAGAATTACCAATTCAGAGCTTGTGATCATCGTAATGTAGCTATCACTGAAATTCCAGTCCAAAACAAACAAAAAGGACATTCCAGTTATTCTTGTGCTACCCTAACAAGAGTAAGTGAAAACTTTTCATTTAGTTTTGTAAGAAATAACTCTGAGACCTCTGCCTCCTCCCATTGCTGCCTTTGAGGACTCTTGGAGGTCTAGGAAGGCTAGTTAAGGCTCTCTTGTATAAGCTAAGTAGCCACTCCACCCAATTTGGAAGGATTAAAGCTTGTCCTAGTTTTGCTTCATTGTTGTACTTCTAGCATGCTAAAGAGCTAAAAAATGGGAGGAAGAAAATACAACAGAAGGCATCATTCCAGTACCAAATTGAAAAGAAACACAAAAACAAGAGAGCAGCATGTTTTTAACAGCTTGCGTGGAAAAAATATTGACTGGGGAGTTTGGACAGCACTGTTCATTTTCTCTCACCGCCCGCGTTATTTGTCTTACGGAGCAGGAGCCAGATGCGATTCTGGAGAACAGGCCGAAGGAAGAGGTGGAGGGGTTCTCTGGAAGCTTGAGGCTGAGCGGAGAAACCAGGGATGGAGGGAGACCCAGTGGCTCAGGGCCAGAGGAGGTCAGGGGAGGGGCCAAAGCCCTTTTCCTCCTGGCCTCGGGCACCTTCTTTGGCCAGCTCGAGTCCTAAGAGGGCACAGCACGGATCACCCAGGTAGGTCCCTGACCCTTTCAGACCACACGAGCAGGATGAATCCCTGCCCCTGTTTCTTTCGGCTGGGGAAAGGACGCGGGGGTTCCATTCGCTTCCTCAGCCCATCCTTCTTCGGGAGCTCAGACCTGCAACTCCCCCGATGGGGGTCGGAGGGGAGACTCCCTCAGCCGGGCAGACGGTCAGCTCCCGCAGCCCGGATCAGCCCGCGCGCGGGCCTTAGCCCCGCCTCCCAAGGCGCGGGGCGGGGCCTGGGCGCGGGGCGGGGCCTGGGCGCGGGGCGGGGCCTGGGCGCAGAGCCGGCGGCCGCGACCGGCAGGAGGAGAAAGAACATGGCGGGTGCGGCGGCACCCGGGACCGGCCTGGGGGCTGCGGGCGGAGATGGAGACGATTCGCTCTACCCGATCGCGGTTTTAATCGACGAGCTCCGCAACGAGGACGTGCAGGTACTGGACTGAGGCCGGGGACCCGAGGCGGGCCGGGCGAGGCGCGTGGTAGGGAAGGAGGGGACTGGCGTCGCGGCGGGGGGGGGGGGGATTGAACGAGCCGGCTTGTAGCAGAACCTTGAGGGGGAGGTGAGGAAAGGCCCGCGAGGGGCTGTGGTGGCGGGTCTCGAGCCTCCCCGGGACCTCTCCGGTACCTCTGCTTCCGACCTCCTGAGGCGTCCGCCTGGAGCCCGACCCGTCCGGGGCGGTTGTCGGAGAACCGGCTTCCCGGCCGGTCGGGGGCCACGCCGCGCCCTGCCCTGGGCCGGCCCGGCCGTCCTTGTGGACGAGCCACGCGGGGAGCGCGGTGCTGGGCCGCGGGGGGCTGGAGCGGGCCGCGGGGCGCAGGATGCCGAGAGGTACTTTGAAGTGCAGCCGAACGCGGTCACCTCGGCGTGGAAACTGGCTGGGCTTGTTGGGTGGAGAGAGAATGGGGTGGCCGATTCACCTAAATGAGTCGGTGCGTCAGCTCTGATGAAACTTTTCTTTGAAGGGGCGGGTGTTGTATCCAGCCGTTTCACCTGCTTCACCACTGCCCAAGTTTTCCCTTTGTAGAGTTATCTTACTTCATGGGGGTTGCGTCCTCTTTCATTCATTTCTCTTTTGGGCCCTTCTGAGTGTTTCTCCTCTGGCTAACCAGGCCGAGTTACACCGCTCCTGAGGTCCTCGTGAGGATCCTTATGAATAAAATCGAAACGAAAGGTTATCCTCATTCTTACCTGCGTGTCATTATCTCACCTGTTTGCACCTTTTATCATTGGGTCTAATTGCAACCATTTATTTGCTTTATTGTTCTTCCTTTTTTAAAGCTCCGTCTCAACAGTATTAAGAAGTTATCGACAATTGCTCTAGCACTTGGAGTAGAAAGGACACGAACCGAACTGCTGCCGTTCCTTACAGGTATGTGAATCGTTGTTTCAAGAAAGGCATAGAGAAGCTGGGTTCGGTGGCTCAGCCTGTAATCCTTTGGGAGGCTGAGGTGAGTGGATTGCTTGAGCCCGCGGGTTC